TTTCTGTTAGGTATGTTTTCTAATATATAATTCCAGCGTCAAACGACGACTAGTTATCGCTTCTAAAAATCGCAAAATCCGTTAGCTTGAATGTCTCGCAATGATCAGAAAACGTTTTGAAATGATTAGATATGGTTGGATGTGACTCTAACGTTTTATCGCTGCAGAATTGTGTGGATGACGACGAAATGTCCCGCAGAAAACCATCAGTTTAGTTATAGGATACGTTCTCTTCACGACATGCGTTAAACACCGAGACATTCCGATTGTACACGTAGGTGAATATAGACGTCCTTCTTCTTAGCAATTATAGAGATATGTCTGGGGTTGATCAGGTTGCTGTACTAATGAACACAAGAGGAGCCGCTATTCAGCAAGGCGTGGATCAATCGGTCTAATTTATCTAACAACACTTGCGGGTTACATGGTTGGTGAAAACCGTGCAACAGAATAGACCAGACCACACTCGTAAACAGACGTCGGCAACTCCGTTCAAAAAGACTTGGAGTCCATGGTTGCAAACGTGATCGTAAGATTCTAGAGTGTCCGTAAAAGATCGTCACCAAGACGGTCAAGGGATTGAACTGTCTCATTTATGAGGAGAGATTACGACCATGTATTCTTCTCAGTACCGCCGAATTCGAGGAGATTTGATTTTGACGTATAAAATACTGCAGAACCTAAACCATGTCGGCCGCTGCTCAAATAGTCGCCCAACATACCTTAGGGGACAATGCTTCAAGCTACTGATTCCAACATGTCGACCGGAACGCCAGCATCAATCTTTTGCAGGCAGAGTGTGCAGTATTTGGAACGCCCTTCCATCTCAAGTCGTTTGTGCACCAAAAATTGAATTTTTCAAGCGGAGACTTGGTGAAACCCTGGCACACCTCACACTGTTACACAACTAAAAAACGCAAATTCCTTGAAGAATACATTATCTATTATCTCTTATTCGAGACTTTGTGACACTATCATTTTTTCGCCGAGAAACAATTCAACTGTGTAAATATCCTACGGGACAAGAGAAGCATGAGACTGTTAGTAATTCCCATAATAAAACTGATTTTCGTTTTACAGATATTTGAAGCTTCTCGTCTGACAATCGTAAATCGTAAATTAAGAAACGGAAATTCATATCCAGGTTTACATTCTACTGTGAGTTGGACAATCGGATGGCGTGAGTTCGGCTTGTGGAATAGTGTTTGGGCATCTGTTTTGTCGCATGTAACAACAAATGTATCATTAACATATCGACGGTATGGAAGGGTTGAACTCAGTACTTCTTCCTGTCTGTCTCCTAATGTTGACATGGCGATGCCGGCAGAAATTGACCCTAACGGACTTCCCATATTTTAACCATCTACCCATTTATAGATGCCTTCGTTGGAGAGAAAGTGTACAGCGTTAGCACATTAATTCAGCAGGATTTTCAAATGACCAGCGAAAAAACTTATTTGCCGGCCTACTTGCATACTTTGGGCACGGCCTACTCGACCGGGACATTGGTGAACAACTATGTATTATAATAAAACGCAAAGAACTGCGGTGACTCAATTGTAGTTAAATGCCGCACTACCACATTGAGACATATTCTTCCTTTCTTCGTCCCTCCACTCTCCCACTACTCATATTCACCATCTTATTGAAACCAATTTATGTTCATAACGCATATTCAACTTTAAGTTGTAACCAAATTCGAGTCACGCAACTCACTATTCCGCCACCTTGTTCCAATGACGCGTTTCAACTCATATGTTTGGTACTATGTGGCATGATTGAAGCTCGGGATGCGGATGTTGGTGGGTTCTCTGGACTGGAACTGTCGTTCACGGACGTTTCGTGGCCAAGCAAGGGAACATCATCAGTGTGACATTTTATGTTTCTTGTTCGACATGATTGAGTAAACGTGTGCTCCCGGATGAAAAGAAGCATGCAAAATTGACAGACAACATCGAGTCGGATCACATTTGTTCTCTCCCGAGGGCACCGCCTCCGCTCTTCTGTGACTACTTTTGCAATGAACTCCTGCTCACCCCATTCACAAATAGCCAACAATTTTCTGGCCGATCGTCCATCAGCAGTCGGGAGTCACAACAGGTAGCAGGCTGGTTGTCACTAGAAGGGTATTGTGATTATGGCATTTTCCTCTAAGGCAACGTTTTGCATTGGTACACATCAGAAAGGCCTGCCCAAATAAATTTACCCCGATGTTGGAAATGAAATATTTGTGTAGAAAATACACGTCCTGCATACAAGTATGTGAACGAACTGACAGAAGACTAGCGGATACGCGTGCCTGATGAGGGGCAAGAACTGCGAAACCGGTTGTGATTCAAGGGAAATTTCGTCCAATCGTTCATATACTACATTTTGTGAAGCACAAATAGCAGCAATAGAAACACTCACCTACTAGGTGTATAACTTTCATCAGCCTTGTAGTCGGTATAAAGGCACAAGCGAACTAATGTGGTTTTCTGAGGAAATTGAATCGTAACGCAGTGTGGTTGCGGACCGTCGGATTGCCAAAATGTGTCTGTTGATCCATCCATGAGTTGCTCTATCCCATGTCCCGGTTTGCAAGATGACAGACTCCAAATTGCTTTGCGGCACACATCACGAACCTAGGGTACAGAAGTAGGAAAGGTAGAAAATTATTCAAGCTGGAAATAAAACCGACCTCAACACAAACGACCGCTTCATCGTTGCTGATTTGAATAGGGTCCCTAATGTAATAAATTAATATACATCCAACATGAGGGAAACTCAATGAAAGGAAAACCTTAATCATGAAATATATCTGGAACAGAAAAGCTCGGGTTAGGTTAACCGCCCTATATACATGTTACCTAACCGATCATTGTGTATCCTGTTTCGGTGAATACGAATTCAAACTATGAACTCCAAACGGGTTTGTCAATCTGCGAAGAACCTTAAATGGCAAAAGTGGCTTAGAATCGGCGTTACAACATTTGTGTTCCAAATTCAAGCAAGCAGTTTCCAGTCAACAATCCACTGCGAAATAAACTCTACATGCTTCGCCATCTGCAGCAAGGTTATTGTCGTCTCATTTGTAGAATACATTAGCTTACTGTGGGAGTAATGAATATATATATATATATATATATATATATGCACTATCTGAAAGATGATCAGTCAATCAAAAGGCAAGAATTTTTATAGTAATACAAGACGCATTTGATGCATGTGACACGATGTGATAGTTCCAAGGAACAGAATTCAATAAACTGGTGCCAGCCGTGTTCACAAACGAAACCAAACTGAAATTGATGATCACAGCAAACCCCAAACGGAAGAGCATTCAGTGTGGACAGCGTGCGCTGGATTTTACGCGAAACAAGTTAATCCAACAGTGACTGACGTTTGAATCACCGCCTAACAGTCAACGCTTGCATTTCAATAGCCGTGGATTTTTCAAATAATGTAAGCTGCATGAATTCCGCGCGAGAACCGACTAAATAATTATTACAGTTGTTCCCCACCAAGCGCCTCGAAGTGCACCATAAGATAAGCCTTCTACAACAACTAACACCTCCGCTTCTCGTTGATGGGAGCGAGGTTGTTTCTAAAATACGAAACGAAATCCGATGAGTGAATGGAGCTGGTACACATACAATTATGATTATTAAGGGCTGATACGCTTTTTCTCCACTAGCAATAGACCAGAAAAAGTCCAAGTGAACCGGCTTTGATAAGTGCCCGGCACAAGCTGAACCTACCTTTCCGTCTCGTTCATCCTTTGTCACATCAATCGATGTGAGTGCCTGAAGGCGTTGGGAAAGCTAGATGGGATTATGCACAAAGTGGAAATTATTGCAATTTTCGAATCATGATGAACGTACAGCGAGCATTTTGACACCTGAAAATAAAGTGAGAGAAGCGCTGCTGACGTGAAAAACGTTGTATTGCATTAAAAACATACACATAAGACAGAATCCTCATGACCTGGTTGGAGAATGAAAAAAAAGAAACAATACATCTGAGATCAAGCGGATAGATCATCATTTGGACTTGACAGTGTTTCCAGCAGATGCATCGCTGCTGGAAGATTGATGGCGTTTCCGAGGCGGTGAGGAGACATTGGCGGACTGGAATGTAAAATTAAATAAGGCAGAATGATAAAAAACTGTTGAAGTACAAAGTGAACAGAGTGAGTGATGAGGTAACAAATCTAAAGGCTGCACCGTGACCATCGGATGAGGGATAGCCATGATCGTACATCCCATGGAACTCCGACCACTCTTACAGTTCTCGTCTCTACACTTACAAAACGATAGGAATATAGCACAACTCACTCAGTACTAGTTTAACCAAGATATAGTGAAGAGAGTATTATCCCTCATCGGTTGAGAGTATCTGACTTTGGCTTTGGTGAATAGCTACTGTGATAGAGAATACCAATGTCAAAGCTTCCTAACAGGTGATATTCTAGGTAAGTATCCAAAACCATCCAAAACTAAACTCTACGCTTGAGTGAAATTTGCACCGACCTAGATCGTTGTGCACGACAAGGCACCATCAGAGACAGTGATGAAGCCGACTTATCCTCACATGAAGGGCGGCAGCTAAAAAGTACAGGTCACAACGACTACAAGTAAAACGGAAACAACAACCGCGTTGTCAAAGGAGTTTCAATGTTAAGAGAACCCATCCAGGGAGAGACTTCACGTTGAGATTGGCCTTACGAAATAAACTAACCCGACTTGTTTATTCCACCCCAACGTCCGAGGTCCCCTTTGGCCGTATCCTCCCCCCGTACAATATATACTCAGCTAGTTATAATGCAAAGTCACTGCACAAACCAACTCTCCACCCTGAATACACATGTACGCATGCTCAATAATCGGTTTTCAGCGTGCCTTCTTACAGATGATTGCGTGTATTCTACCCAGCTTTCTGTGGTTCGGCAATCCTAGGACAATGAACAACGCTGTCAGTTTTTATAACCGAACACCGTTTTGATTGTAGGGTAGGGGCTAATTAAACAAAAAAAATTGAGTAAAACCCGAGCTCACTACCGTAGTCCCCTGCAGGATGTCAAATGCGAAAAAGTAGATGTTTCATTTTCTTTACTCTTCCAATTACTGTTTTCTTAAATTTAAAATTAACGAGGTTGCTTTAGTATAAACATAATTCAAATTTAATCGGTGGAATCTGCACGATTGGTGCATGCCATATTCTCTTGAATGAAAAGGACAGAAGGCCATGGACAAGCAATCGAAGGACGTGAATTGTAATCATTCTTGTTAAAGGTCAGCTTTTCCTAAATAATACACATCGTTGAACCTTCTCATTGCCCACAGCATGTTATCACCACACCCCGGCAATACTTCGCAGACAGTGCATATGTAATGCCGGAAACCATTAAGGATCCTCAACATGAAGGGGTAAAGGTTCACGACTTAGAAGCTGAATACTGAGAGTTGTAGCACTACACAAGTCCGTTCGAAAAATGGTGGATATCGCGGTGGGGCCACAGGTGTTTCAGATTGGTCAACATTAGATATTTTGGGGGTATCGGTGTAACTAGTCTTCCGAGACGATATTCATTGAAACTCACCTTGGAAGCAGGCCGTTTAACTGAGCGGGTACTAGGCGCTGGAGCCTTGCTAACCGGGGTTTCGGGGTTTTTTGGAGGTTGAATCGACGTGGGTGACGTAGTGGGCGTGACACCGGTCGCCGGAGGTCGTGTCACACTACGTACAGTAACTGGAACGGATTGTCTAGTTGCCAAAGGAAGACTTGGAAATCCTGGAATATCTTCCTCTAGGACGGACCAAAGTGGCTTTAGCTATGAATAATCAACAAAAAATAAGCAACTCATTGGTTACAGCGACAATTAATTGCATACAAGCGTTGCAATATTTATCAAGACAGTGGAGGCCTACACTGAGATGTAAAAAATGTTTATTGTAACGTTGCAATCCAAATTAGAACTCGTCAAACCTAAATAAAATTGATGGAATGCAGAGCTTCGAGGATTAATCGTTTCCTCTTCTTAGCTTTGCGTTATCGATCGCGATCTCGCGACCTGTCCGTGCGCAGTGGTTCCACATTTGTGACCTCGGGTCAGCGCGTCGGAGGGCAAACTTGTGTTCGTGTAGGCGAGTGCGTAGTTGTTTGCCTGTCTCCCCTATGTAGTGTTGATTGCAACCCAGGCACGGGATTGCGTAGATTACTCCTGCTCGTTACTGCTGTTCGAATAGATACTTGCCGTTGAAAAGAAACGATCGCACGGTTGCTGCTGGTTTACGCGCGATCTTGATTCCCAACGGTTGGAATATTTTTTCGGTGGCTTCTGACGTGCCGTGTAAGACAGCGTTATCGAAATTCCTCCTTTTGTATGTTGTTTGCTTCTTACCTCTGAGGCACGCGTTGATAAAACTCCCGGTATATGTGTTTGATAGGAACAGTTGAAAAAGTCGAGTTCTTTCTCTTGTGATTAACTCCGTTGTGATGTAATGTGTATTTGCTCGGCGGAATATAGTTTGCACACAACTTTTCAGGTGGCACAAAGGGTGGTTGTTGTTGTAGTTGAGGATGCGATCTGTCATGGTCGGTTTTCAGTAGACCGTGGTTTCTATTATTTCGTCAGGTTTCCTCATGAGAAGAATGTCGAGGAAGGAGAGTTGTCCACCTTTTTCTTCCTCTCATGTGAAGTTTATATCAGGCACCTGCTCGTTGATCATTTGGTGGAGCTGATCTATCGTGGAGGCTTTGAGTAAGACGAATTTGTCCTCTACATACCTTATCCACACACGACGTTGTAGAATTATAAAAAAGGCTTTGGCTTCGAAGTGTTTCATAACCGCATCTGCAAGCAGGCCTGAGAGTGGCGAGCCCATTGGAGTTCCTCGTATCTGTTGGTACACCTTCCCGTCGAATTGGAAATAGGTTTCCATACAGAGTTCTACGAGTTTCACTATTTTGTCCACAGATAGTCTCGTTCTTTATTGCAAATTTTGGTAGCTTTGCAAAATCGAATACTTTCGATGGCCATTCGCTTTGGTATGTAGGTGAACACTGAGGTCACTTCGAAGGAGACGATCACTTCGTCTGGTTCGATCGTCAGTCCTTTGATGCGTTTCAGAAATGCCGTGGAACTTTTCGCATCATTTTGGCTCGCAGGTCGGGATGGGCGTAGTAGCTGGAAGAGGTACTTGCGGGATTGTAGTTGGGTGCTGTTGTGGATGCGACAATGGGTTGTAGTGGTACATAGGGTTTGTGCACCTTCGGTATTCCATAGCACCGTGGTGCCGAACCTTCTGTGGGTTTGACTCGTATATATTCTGTATATGTTAGATTTTTGTTTTTCTTGAGAGTGGAAAAGGATTTGGTTAGTTGATTCCTCAGTTGCTTCACGGGATTCCCATTGACTGGTCCATAAATTTCTTTGTCTTCGATGAGTTGTTTTGTCCTTTCTGTGTATTCTGTTTTGCCCAACAGTGCGATTGCATTGCCATTATCTGCCGGAATGGTCTTCCAAATGGCTGCCTAAGACTTTAGGGTACGACAAACTTCGCGGCAGACCACAACGATGAAGGGTTTTTTCTCTGGAAAGCCTTACCGGAGCCTTTGACTCAAAAGTCTGACCCGCAAGACAGTGGAAATTTATGGGTTTTTCTTTCGGA